TGCTACTACTGTTACTACTGCTACTACTTCTACTACTGCTACTACTGCTGCTACTACTACTACTACTACTACTACTACTACTACTACTACTACTACCACTACTACATAAGAAGTTGTTCACTAGAACTTTTATCACAGGAGAGGATGAAGAGCAACTCAAAAAAATATGCTAAATAGATAAATTTATCTTGGTACCGAAATGGCGCCCTTTAGTTAACATCACCCCAGTTCAGTAGAATGACCACATAAAAAGGGGATACCTTTCAGAGGGTAGGCCTGGGGAAGAGAGGCCCGTGCCCGCCCAATTTTAGGAGAACATTTACTTACATTAAGACTTATCAAAGAGAGGAATACGGGAATATCAAATATGTTTTAGAGTGCAAAACTTCTGTCTTTCCTTAAAAAAATTGTAAGGGCTAGCCAATTTCCTCTTATAAGCGGTCATTTGGGATTGTGTAATATTTGCCGTTAATTTTCGTTTCGTATTTATATTCGACTTTTCTCTTTCAAGTGCATCAGTAAGGTTTAAGTTAAGCCTCAACTGATTTTTGTTGATTGTTTCATCTATTTGGCTGCTTTATCATTCAACCTCAGCATCATTTGTATTTCACAAAAAGAAAAGAAAATTGCGTGAATGCAAGTAGCGTTAATGTATTTATGATCAGTTCAAAGTCGACAAAGTGAAATAGGATGATAACCTCAAAGAGACAACGAATCGTCTCTCCAAATGACATGTAGTCGTGTCTAGAATTCCATCCTAACAAACAGAAACTGGTCCACTGCAATGCTGCACCTTTAAGTAGCTTGCAACTGAGGCTAATGCTAATAATAATGTTGCTTTTGTCTGCGGGCCTAGCTGTCGCTAAAGTATAGTATAAGGTAATAGAAAAAATCTAATTATCTAAAGTATTTCCATAGGACTAGTGTTAATATAGTTCAACTGATGTTATGTTAATGTGTACCACTTCATGTTGAATGAAATACTTACTTGTCACCTGGACAACGAAGCTGCAGTTTGCAGTGTTACCGCTCTTATCCGTCGCCGTGTAGGATATCTCATACAACCCGACTGTAAGATTGACGGGGGGTCGAACTGGAGGATACGTCATAACGGTAGTTCCCGAGTTATCAGTAGCTACTGGATCACTCCATGACACTACAGCACTGTCGTCACATGAATCAGTGTAAAATACCATTTCACTGGGGCATGTGCCATGAAACGTCGGGGGAGAAAGATCTGAAGAAACAGTAAACAATGGATTGACGGTTAATTTAAAAAAACAAACATGGTGCCTATGAGAAATGATCTTAAAACCACGATTTCTTAGAAATAAAGCTGTGCAAGTTGACCGAAGTTCCAACAGAATTCCAAACTAGGGCCTTTGCGATGCCGTTGCAAACGCCCCGTAAATGCAAAGCACATCTCCTCTTTCCTTTTCTGATTACTATAGATCATGACCTCAGAAAAACCAACAGGAACTGAAGTACTGAAGTTGAAGAGACTGTTACCTTTACATATTGTATTGTTTTCCCCAGTCCAATTTCCACCGTTGGCACACACTCGAGTTGACGTCCCCTCCAGAGTATAACCATCCTGGCACGTAAAGATGCATTCCTGACTAAACCCACTCTTAGTGAGGCATGAGGCTGGCGACAGGGCGCCGAACGGTGGAGGAACAAGTGCATCGCATTCAATAGCTGAAACAAGTCTTGTTAGTACAGTCTTTCAGCAGTCTTTAGAATAAATTCAGTAAAGGCAGATGGCGCGTCAAATCTAGCTATAAGCTGTTACCACTAAGAGAGAGTTTGTGGGAACAGAATGGCGGCACTCATTTCAAGAACTTTGTTATTGTAATAATCTAGCCACTTTTTTTCAGGAAGAATTAGTTGTTTAACAGACCGTAATCATAATAAAAGATCCCACAACTATCAAAGCCCTAGTTATTGTACGAACTGTGTCTTCAGCCTCGACCGAAAACATTTCTTAAATCGATTCAAATATCACAGAACCTTGTCCTGTAATCACTTCATATCTACCTTTACATGTAGAGGTTTGTCCACTCCAAGTTCCGTTCTCCATACAGTACCTCACTGAAGAACCAGTAAGATAGTAGCCAATATTACAAAAGAAACTGCATCGTACACCGTAAAACTCTGCAATGTGGTTTGAACAACCAGTTTTGCCACCGTTTAGCGGAGAGGGAAGAGACTGACATCTAATAACTAAAAAGATAAGGCAAAATGTTGGCTCTTAAATTACATCAATATGTCATAACTTAGTAATTAATTGAAGTCTTCATCAGCTATACAGTGCTCAATAGCTAAAAGGTCAAGTCTACATACGAGCCAAGTGGCCCATCAGGCCGGCGCGTATCTCTGGTTTCTGTACCATAGGAGTATATCTAGGAGTGCAACTAGGAGTATTTGTACTCTCCCTGGATGGGACGCTAGTCCATCGCAGGGTTACCCCCAGGTATTTATACACCTGGGTAAAAAGAGACACTGTGAAAGTAAAGTTTCTTGCCCAAGAACATAACACAATGTCTCCGACCAGGGCTTAAAAACGAACCGCTCGATGTGGAAGCTAGGGCACTAACCATAAGCCCACCGGGCTTCCAATAGGGCACTAACCATAAGCTCACTGTGCCTCCAATAGATAAACTAGAGCTATAAAAACGTAGATTTGCAGAGTTGGATTAAAACGTTTAATTTCCTCTGAGAGTTTCATGCTTCTCACGAGGCAATCATTAGGCAACTGCCAATAACAACTAATACGTCCAAAGATACTGAAAATGTGGAACAATGCATTCTAAGTGTGACATCAGGGGCGGGATATGACATAATGTAATTGCATGAATCTGCTAATTAATGGCAGGTTTTCAACAGACATTTTCTGGAATGTCTGCTGCTCGGTGTCAGTTCATATATAAGCTAACATGACTGGAAACGACAATCTATGTAATTTCGAAACGATAAATTTCCTGGCGATTAATTGTGACGTGTTCTCCTCTCATCCTCAATTTATCGAGGAAATTTTACTTTACCTTCGCAAGATGGCAAAAGATGGCTCCAAGAACCTGGAGGTCTATTTCCATGGGCAATGCACCTGGTGACTGATGAACCATTCAAGCGATAGCCAATCGCACAAGAAAAAAGGCACTCGGCTCCATTATGGCTGCCACAACTACCCATGCGCAGAGGACCTCCAGACTGGACAGTCAGCGAAGGACAATAAATCACTGTTTACGGTAATGAAAAGTAAATCAGATCAACATCACCTCAGAATGTGGATGAATCATGCTGCGTTAGGCCCTCTTGCCTTCGAGTTAGACTTTTATATGGCAATTATTCTTTTACTGTACATATTACTGTAGGTTGCACTTAACTGTGTTTTGACTTTTTTTTTAATTACACTGACCCACTTACCCACAACTTTAATAGTAATACTGCAAAGCTTTTTGTTTTCCGACATGTCAGCTGCTGTATAGATAACCACGTGAGTGCCTTCTGCCATCCTGTGTGGTGGATCCATGAAATTTGAAGTGACTTTAGGTGGAATTCCAGAGTTGTCAGTGGCAACAGGGACTGTCCAGGTCACAACAGCTGAAAACTGCCCGCTTTCAGTGTGTACTAGAAGCGATTCCATGGGGCATGAGTCACCGAACGAGGGGGGAAGTACATCTGAAAAATTTTGTCTGACTGTTAGTTCCATGGAAATTTTAGTCCTCGAGCGTGCGGTTTTCGTTCGAGTGACGTAGACTTCAAACTAGACCAAATAAAATAGACAATCACAGCAAACATGGATAACACAATGAATTAGTCAGAACACCAAGGAAAAACAGACTATTGGCATCACGCGCAGGAAAACGCATGTTATCAAGTCGTGAGTGGCTTTGCAGCTGTATTGGTTGAATATAGCTAATTTAGGACCAATTAGAGTGCGCAGCGAGGCAAAACCAAAAACAACTCCAGATTAGTTCCGACACTCAACCGAAAACTGCTCTATGGTGCTCTAAAGCTGTTCTAAAGTATATGCGTTATTCCGACATGGGCATACATTCCCTGAAAACGAATTCTTAAAGTTTACGGGACACACGTCATAGATGAAGAAAAATTCTGAAAATATTAAAACGAAGTACCTCTCGATCGTCTGTTGCGAGCTGCTAATGATGACCCGCTATGATGGATCTGATTGGAAATCTATGTTAATATAACTGTAACCGATACAATAGCCAATTTTCGTTATATGAACATTGCCACTCGGCTGCGAAGTGTAGAGGAAATAAAACAAGAAAACAATGCATCTATTTATCCTTTAACTTATGTTAATGCTCTTATTTTATTTTCCAAAGCCTCGGAGCTAAGTTAGACGTTTAATAATAATGAACTATTTTTCGCCTTCTGGTCATAAAAATGCGTTCACCTTTACATTTGATAGGGCTTTCATTCCAGTTACCGGACTGAGAACATGTTCGAGTGACGTTTCCACTGTTACTGGCATATCCATACTGACATCCAAATACACAATTTGCTCCATATAAATTGCCACAGGAGGGAGACAGGAGTACAGCGTTTGATGGCACGCTTAAATGCGGACATCTTATAGCTACATTCGGTAAATAAGGCATACATTTTTATTATCAAAATACATTCTTGACCTCGGATAATAAATATATTCCTACAGGGTAGCTTTCAGTCCTTACTTTGGTGTCTTTAATTCAGGGAACTTGCTCAATTTCTTAGCTCAGTTTCTTTTCAACACAATTTTGTAGATCTTGATGATCACAGCTGCGGAGCTTACTATTTAAGGTTATAAAACCACCTTGAGATTAAGTGTTAAATGAAGCTTTACTTTTCAGGAGGTGGGGAGAGACAAAACAACTTGAGATTGATAGATCTTAGCTATGGGTATCTATTACGAGGATGGCCTTTCATCATAATTGACGGAAGGATACCTTTTGCTCATGGAGGTTAAAAAATCAATAAAAGTCACTGCTATAAATATTTGTGATGGCTGATGGTTTTATTGAGCACTCAGTTTAATCACTACTCGTGCAAAGGTCCCTTAATGACAATGGTACCGAGGAAGCCTTTAAAATACCTCGACATGAAAAGTCTTCTCCACTCCAGCTACTATTCCTTAAACATATCCTCACTTCGGAGCCTGAGGCGATATATCCAACAGAGCAGGAGAACCGGCAGGTCGTCAGGTAATCCCCTTTTGTATTCCCTTCACATCCTTGTAGGATGCCATTGGGTGGCGCTGATAGTGATGGACACTTGACAGCTGTACCAAAAAAACGGAAATAACATATTCTTAATGGCTAACTACTTTTTTGCTCTGATATCTGTGATCTTGGAAATCGACCCTTAAATTAAGGTCATTTTAGAAATAAATAAACCCTTGCTATAGCAGCAGAACTAAAATGAAGAATAAATTATTTGAAACATTTGAGAGGTTGTCTCTTTAAGATCATGCTCATAGTCCTTTTGTTTCATAAGTTCCTTGAAAGTTGGCATGTACCTTAAACTTACACTCGATTGGTCAGTTTCAAAACACATTTTACTTAGCTTCAGAAAATTTTTCCTTGCTATATAAGGGAGTTTACTGGGGTGCAAATTCGAAAACTTTAATTGGCTATTTATTTTCTTCCCTTCCCATTTGATTGAAAATTTTATCCTCGCATTGGATGGTAATCTTCATAAAACTCAAATCAAACAAAAGAAATTTAGAAGACCATTATATTTTTATAAGTGAATGTGATTTACTTTTTCACACAGAAGCACACCACTGGGTGGATAAATATTTCCATAACAAAATTTAAAAAATCTCGTTAGTGACACAACGTGAATTCACTTTTATTCAGCGACCACCGTACGTACAAATTTGAGGCGAACTCTTGTGAGGGACGATGTGACATCTCTTAACTGTCACTGTACGGGTCCGCAAATGATCCCAGGATCGCAAATGATCCCGGACCGCAAATGATCCCCAAATTGGACCGCAAATGATCCCGGACCGGAAATGATCCCCATATTGGACCGCAAATGATCCCGATCAAAAAATATGGAATGGCATGGATTTATATCAGAGGAAGGTGAGAACATGTACAAAAATTATGAACTAAAACACATGTTTTATCATTTTGCAAAAAAAATATTCCACAGTTGCTGTTTTGTTCTTCGAAAGGTACAGATCGTTTTCACTGTCACGCAATAAAAAATAATAATAATAAATCGAAAATCAACCAATGGAAAANCACTGATCATAATTTTACTGAGAATTGCAAAGAAATGCAAGCCAAGTCGTGTTTGATGATTTAGGGGTGATATTCATAACGTCGTAGTTAGCAACCGGCAAAATTTAGTCGAAAGTATGAAAAAAGAGCAAGTTGTAAATAAGCCATTATTTATAGATGGCTTTAATAAAAACATCGGTATTCACGTACGCCAATTCCCTATTCACACCATCCCACCATCCATGCCATTCCTTATTTTTTGATCGGGATCATTCGCGGTCCAATATGGGGGATCATTTCCGGTCCGGGATCATTTGTGGTCTAATTTGGGGATAATTTGCGGTCCGGGATCATTTGCGGTCTGGGATCATTTGCGGTCCTGGGATCACTTGCGGACCCGTACAGTGTACTCTCATAAACAACAGCTATTGCCCAATGGTGACGCCAAACGTCTACGTTTCGCAGTACTTTTATATAAAACTTGATAGAAACTTAATTTTAGACGTTTTCTCTACTTAGTGACTTTAACATAGACATTATTTTTGTAGTAAATAGCAATCCTACCGCCTTGACAAATGTGAGAATTTCCAGGAATGAATGAAACGCCTTCTGGACAGAAACATCGGTAGCCATGGGGATTCTGAAGACACAGGTTACTACATCCTCCATTTAGGTTTGAACAACTGTTTGGCCCTTGGATGGAATGGTTGTCGATGAGTTACGCATAGACACAACAATGACCCTCTGTAACAAAATAAATTAAAAATATGTGCTTTCTCGTTACCTTTAAACAGCTTCTGGGAATCGTAGAGGCGCAAACCCATGGGCCTTGTTATTCCTTTCCATTCCTTATCAAATCGACCAGGTTTGGTATTGTACTCGATGACGCTTTTTCGCACCCAGTCTGTCCAATACAGAATGTCGTCATGAACAGCGAGCCCAAATTGGTGAAAGAACCCGCCGCCAACAGGGTTGTAAAGCAAAAATACAACTTTCCGATTGTTTCCTTGAAAATCTATCTTTTCTATCCTATCCAACCTGGCATCACACCAGTAGAGAACTTTGTTTTTTAGATCGAGGGAAATTGCGTTTATCCAAACTATTCTAGAGCTTACAAGCACTTTTCGTGCAGTACCATCCATGTTCGCTCGTTCTATCTTCGGTGATGATCCCCAGTCAGTCCAAAACATGATGCTGCAACAAACGGTTGATAAATGTTGTTATTGAAGTTTGATTTGCTCATTTAAGAACCTCCCAGGGAGGAGTGGGTATCTTTTGCGGACATCTAGATTACGTTTATCCTCAGTAACTCAGTTTTTCGGTCGCGATTTTTTTCGGTATTCTGGGAAAATGTAATAGGTAAGCTGTTGAGACAAAAAAAATGCGTTTTCATAAGATAGCAGGTCTCGATCATTCCCTATTTTTAACCAAAGAGATCCTATGGATGCCGTTCAGCTAAGTAATCTCTATCGACAAATATACCTTCCTGCTATATCGAGGGCGATCGATCTTGGTTTCTCAATGTTTGTTGTGATGAGACCTCTCCTAGATGATCCATCCAATCTCGAAACTTCGATTCTTTCTGTGCCAGCGTCTGACCAGTACATGTTTCTTCCAATCCAATCAATGGCTAACCCGTCAGGAATTTGTACATTCTGTTGGACTATAACTTCTACAGATGATCCATTAAGGAACGCCCTAACGATTGCTTTCAATCGACCGTCTGTCCAGTAAACCTTGCTTTCAGCTGGATCATAATCAATAGCGATCGGATACACGATTTTACTCTCAATTTGCAAAGCGTTGCATGGTCTGCCAGGTACTGCCAGAGGAATCTTGTAAATTTTACCAGAATAAGAACCAGTGAAAAGAAGAAATTTGTCGGAGCTTGACTTATGGAAAGATTCTGTGAACGCAAGGAAGATAACACGTAAGTGTCATCTTTGATCAACTTTTACCCGTTTGGAAAATAAAGTTTGGTTTGAAATACTAGCCGAATGCATGGAGAAATGAATGGACTTTTTATCATTAAACAAATAAAAAGGCCTCGACTGTGCTCCGTTCTGCTGTAAAGCCATAGGGTAGGGTAGGGTAGGGTAGGGTATGGTATGGTACGGTACGGTATGGTATGGTACGTTATGGTATGGTGTGGTACATGTGTGGCATCGTATGGTATGGTACATGTATGGTATCGTATGGTATGGTACATGTATGTCATCGTATGGTAGGGTTGGGTATAGCCTAATGCGGTATGGCACGATTTTCTCCTATTTTGTTTTTTTCTCGAAATAGTGTTTATAAAATACTATCTCGACCACAACCCATGACACCTTGAAGTTCGTGGAGATGTTTCGTTGGGAGTGGTATTGTTGTTTAAACAAGTGATATATCAAAGTCTTTTGTTTGATATAATACTTAAAACGTTACGAGATGCAGGAGGTTGGCCATTTGGCTCTTCACAAAGAGTGCTCGTGGTGTTGAACTCGGAACAACCAAGTATAAAACAGGTAGTAGCATGGTGGAGGACTTGGACCCGAGTTCCCCAGATTACATATCAGTGCCCTACTGACAACTCGGCCACATTGTCGATACCTCACATTTATTCTGAACTACACGTCTCACTGAAATAACTGCGATACACTTACCATAGTCACAGTTCTTTCCATCGGGAAGAAGAGAAACACCTGTTGGACATGCGCACTTGTACCCAGTAGGGTTCAAGAGGCAGAAATCACTGCAGAGTCCATTGCGAACACTGCAAGGGCTGCGATCTTCAAGAAATAGGTTTTTAAATGTCTTTAGTTATTGGTTGCTGTTTACAGGAAGAACACAACGTCGTTACGAAAAGGCCAATGGGCCGTTTTCGCATTCTCAGTGTTGGACTCGAACTAGCCTGCATCTGAGACCAATGCAGCAAGTCTTTTCAACTGCAAATACATTTATATTTTTTTAATGATATTCCCCCGTATATGAACCTCCATTGACAGCTAGTTCCAGTCCAATACCGATAATATGAATATGGCCTATTTTCAGAAACTAGGCGTAGCCGATAGTGTTAGGACAACTCAGGTTAGGCTAAGAAAGCTGGGCATCGATAGGAAACGATATCGCTACATCTCATGAGTGCTGACCGCCAAATCGACCCACTCCCAACACTCGTGAATATGTCAGCAACCGTTTTCGTTCTTCCATGTCTCATTATTTTTTGGTATACTAATAATATACTACAAGGGGTCTACAGCCGCGTCTAAAGTTCTTCTGAACAAATACGTTTGTCGACAAGAAATGGCACCAAGAACTGCGAAATAATTTCACAAAAATGCCCTTCTACAATTGCAAGGATATTCATTTTGTATACTCATTTTGGGGAGAAACCAATCAGATCTCTGATCAATGTTCTGTAGGTTGAGATTCCACACGATTGATATTTTACAGCTCTCCGAGATAACATGGTTTTATGTTTGATAATGATTCACATAATGTCATAAAAGATGACGTCTTAGTTATGTGTGATCTTGACGTTTACTTTTCACCTATAACATATACTTTAGAAAATGGTATAAATCAACTCATAATTACTCCAAAACTTTGTTGAGGTACTACACTAAAATACCGAATAATTGCAAATGGAAATTGGTAATTTAAGGGAGCTGAAAATAAACGCATACCATTACGAATAAATAAATGATAGAACGCTTACCAGGAGATGAAGCGGCTGCGTCATAAACGAAAAGATCCATTGGTATTTTTAGTCCATAGGCAAGAATTTCCTTTTTCCCTCTACTTGTTGAAACACGTGAGATCGTTTTTGTTTTCCAGTCTGACCAGTATAACCAGTCTCGGTTCATTGCCAGCCCAAAAGGAGATACATCAGTTGTAAAGGAAAGAATGACTCTTCTGTTTCTATTCTTTAGGTCGAATTCCTCAATCCTGTCTAGTTTGGCGTCTATCCAATATAAACGGTTGGAAGAGTGGTCCATAGTCAACCCATTAGGTGCGCCTAAGTTTTCGTTCACAATGATTCGTCTGGCTGTGCCGTCCATGGCAGCTTGTTCAATTTTCGGATTCTTCCCTACATCAGTCCAATACAGAAGCCTTTGACAGAATAAAAACAAAAAAAGTTGTATACATTTCAAACACATCTACGTAAATCGGGAGTCGCGGTGACCTCATGGTTAGTGCGTATGACTCCGGATCATGCAGTCTGGGCTCGAGGCCTGGCCTGGGACATTGTGTTGTGTTCTTGCAGGGTAGGACACTTTACTCTCACAGTCCCTCTCTCCACCAGGTGTATATATGGGTACCGTCGAATTTAAAGCTAGAGGGGGGAGGGACCCTGCAGTGGACTGGCAGCACATCCAGAGGGAAGTATAAACACCCCTAGTCGCTTTATGCTACAGAAGCCGTAATACGCTCCGGCCTGATGGGCCACTTGGCTCGTAAGCAGACTTAACTTACGTAGATTACGCACGCTTTTAACTTTATTCCTGTTATTCTTTCTGAGCTGGGATCTTTGCTAGGAGGAGACGGTGGACGGCATTTCTTTAACTCTTTCAAATTATTTTCAGTTTTTCGAAAATGAAAAGTCATTTAAACTACAAACACAACTATTTTAGCGGCATCATTTCGCAAGATACTGCTTTGTCATTAAAACGTTTTCATTACAAACGTCTGTGATTATGGAGGAACATTAGCTAAGGCCTAAAAGGACGTCTGAGTGTTTATTGTCTTGGCTGAAAACGTTTTTGAATTAGAGCATCAAGAAAAAGGCGGATATTCTGACTTGCAATCTTAACTCGATATTCTGTTTGAAGTTCTGGTATGAATGCTAACTTGTTATCTAGACTCGAGATCCATCTCAGGGGAATCTTAACATCGTGACATGAAACCTATATGTATAGGAAAACCCCATTTTATATGGGATGTATTCATATGATTGTTTGCTCTTTTTTGTATCATGAAATAAAGTCGAACGGTCAATCCCATGCTGAAGCAAGTCATCAGCATTTACTTCTAGTGATGTTTTGTAAGGAAAACTATAAGTTCGTGGGTCTACCATCTCTTGACAAATTCGGAGCTAGTTGCCTACAAAATGCTGATGAACGGCGCATTCAACACCGGAGACGAAAGAAAAATTCTTAGAAGTAAAAAGCCAATGGCCGTCAAATTTTCCACGATAGACTTAATAATAATAATAATAATAATAATAATAATTTATTTCTAGCGCATTACATTACAAAATCTCAATGCTCTTACAGAATATAAATGAGAAAAACGATAACGAAACCAATATAAGGAAAATATATTAAATTACAATGAATTATAAAATACTAAAATTCATTAAATACTAAAATTCATCATCAGATACTAAAATTCATTATAGAAATACTAAAGATCAGTATTAAACAAACACGGTTTAAGCTTAGTTTTAAACGTATCCACTGATGGGGCACTTCTCACATCAAGTGGGAGGCTATTCCACAGTGCTGGCGCACAAGATGAAAAAGCGCGTCCCCCGTAGGTCTTTGTCCTAAACACCGGTATGTGCAGTCGCAGGTGATCATTATTTGAACGAAGACACCTTATCGGTTGACGAAGATTAATAAGATCCGCCAAGTAACAGGGTGCTAAACCGTTTAAAATTTTGTAAGTAAAAAGTAAAATCTTAAAAATGAAACGCTTGCGTACGTGCAGCCAGTGAAGCTTGCGGAGGATTGGCGTGATGTGATCCGCTCTCCTTGTTTTTGTAACCAGCCGGGCGGCCGATTTCTGAACACGTTGACTTAACGACTTATATCTTATATATCGCTACGCTCGAGGATGGGCATAGCTGAGAATTATTGTAGGAGTAGATACTACGGTCGCAATATTCAAACCAATCATTTACACATTGGTTAGTTACTCAAAAGCTTACCCGCGTCGAATGTCAAGAATTATTGCTATCGGTGTGTCAACGCCATCTGTAATCAACACTTTCCTCTTGGTTCCATCAACTCGACCAACCTCGATTCTTTTAGTTCCCGAATCTGTCCAGTAGAGATTTCTTCCAGCCTTGTCAATTGCCATGCCAAGCGGGCGTATTACATCACAACTGAACAGAATCTTCAGAGAAGTGCCATTAGAAAAGGCACTAAGGATCATACCCTGTAGAATATCGGACCAATACACTCTGTCCTCATGGGGAACGTAATCGATCGAAGCTGGTTGCTGAATTCCAAAGTGATAGAGTAACACTTCAGAAGTTAATGAGCCACCAGTTAAATCAATCAGAGTCGTAGTCTTATTTCGAGCGTCAGTGTAAACCAAAGCTTTGTTGAAACCTGAAATAGGATCAAAAAAATATTTAAAATAAATCTAGAGGATCGCCCTNCCCCCCCCCCCGCCACCACCACGCGCACCCCTAGAGGGAGGCTACCTGAATGGTGAAACTACTCGTGTGATTCGTTATACCGAATATACGCGATTTATAACTCCAAGGCTAATAATTAAACTGTCACAATAAAGGCCACTAATGTACTTAATGAAGAGAAGCATACCTTTTAATGGTCTCACGCAGTGTTCACCAGTGAATACGAATAAAATAAACGAGGATACGACCAAAACGTTCCTCATTACTTTGCTGTTGGTCTGTTTTCTCTAAAGAGGAATATATTAAGAAATGAGGAGCAATCTTTTAAAGCGCGTTGGTAAGACCTCTATGGCAATATAGACATATTTTGATATTGTTTGGTAGAACCCACGAACATGAGACTATAATAGTCTCTCGCAACAAATTAATAGATAGAATTTGGATTTTCTGCCTTGAGCTCTTGGATACAAAGAATTGTTTTGCATTGTTAAGAGTTACGTCAGTGCAACAAATGTCGTAATGCTAAAATAACTGGGTTACTTTCAATGACTAAGCTTTCAGACTGTTCCACCAGTCCCAAGCATATGATGCTCTTCATAATTGCTCTCTCGATACATGATTTATGTGCTTGTTGATTAGTTCACTAAATGCCCGCTTTTCAAATTTGAGCATCCAATCAAAGATTCATACGGTGAGTCCTTTGTCGAGATCTCTCTGCTTGACAGTGATATTGGCTATTGAGCCGGTACAAAACGGTATTTTCATTGGTGGTCAGTACAAATCACAAAAACAAGTTGACGTAAATAATTGGAATATAAGAAAAATTGCTTTTGTTGAGGATCCAGGCGTATTTCCCCTGGAAACGTTCACAATTTCGTTGGATACCATGATCTCAGTCACTTGGGAGTCCTGACATGCAGTTTATAAGTTAGAGAGACAATTCACAAGAAGGTGTAGATCTATGAAGTGGTGAGATGTTTTCAGTTTTCCATAAACCACCCTGGCCAAATACCCTGCAAACACCCCCAGTATGCTTTCCTTTGGGATCATCTTCTTTTATTTTTTCCGGTAACTTCTCAGCAGTTGGAATTACATAAATATTTAAATCCAATTTACCTATTTCTAGCGTGATGAAATGGCTACATATCGTCAGGGGCACCCAACGGATCGTTCCGGTAAATTATTATCTGTTGGGAAGACCTTTAATCTTTTCCGATTTTCTTAAGTACAACTGTCAACTCAAACTTCCGGGATATGAGAAATATGGTGCCTGTTGTTTTTGGATTGATAAATATGTCGTTTTGGGTACGAGACTGAAGACCAGCTATGATTTTTGGAAAGGCAACACCTGCTAACGTTTTCACGAAAATGGACAAAAAAGCGGTAATAAATTCGAGAAGACTCAAGTTCCTCTAGAATGACCGAACTCCAGACATGTAGCCTAAAACAGCGTGGACGTTTAGGGTCCCTGTCTCGTATCTTCTTAATTCATGAAATATAACAGGAGCTTTACTTGAGAATTTACGGTTTCAATTACATTCTTTATGAGCTGGGCCGTGGTATAAGCCTGTTACATAAAAATGATCTCTATTTCATTCTTAACCTGATTATATTCAGTATTGCATATGCAGCAGTGTGTTGCGATTTCTTAAATCCATCCTCTACATTGGGGTCATTATTTTATGAATTTTACTCTCTTTTTTTTTGTTTTTCATAATAGCAGCGTACAACTTTATAGCCATAGCTACCGTAGAATGTTTCTGATTAATAAAGGTAATAGGACTGAGTGGAGTCCAATTCGGTCTGTAATCATACGAGTGATTAACAATCCGATTTGTTAATCACGAGTATGATAACAGACTGAATTAGACGACACCATGTCCTGTTACCAATTAATCAAAACTATGACAAAATTCGAGAAACGAACAAACCATCGATTGAGCGCTGAACGATTAAACGTCGTTATGAATGCTGA